GAAAGAAAGCAACCAAGGAGCAGACAAGCAGAGAGCAGAGTCCCTGAAATAAACGAGGGGACAAAGAGCCAAGGTCACAAACTCTTGTGTTCCCCAAAGCTACCTGTGGGACTCCGAGTCCAATCTCCAATTCTGCCCTCCTTGAGGCTGTCTCTTTGGCTCTGCCTGGCTTGCCAGGCAATTGTTCCCTTAAATATAAGATGTCTACAACCCACAGGCTACCTGGACTGCCTCTCCTGAGTTTCCCATTGAAGGGCTCTCCTCCCCATCTGTGGTCTTTCTCCAACTCACCCCAGGGACTCAGGGGCCACCCGGTGGTCTTGCATGTAGCATTCAACAGTTAGGATGGCCCCTCCCCACTGAAGTCACCAAGGAGGTGGAGTGGGGCAGCCCCTGACCCCTTCCCACTCTGTCCATTCAGTCTCCGGAAAACTGCACAGGGCTGGGCAGCTATTTAGAAAGCTCTGTATGGAAGAGTTGGGACAATCTGCAACCGGGAATGATAACATGGGAGCAGGCCAGTTAAAGTCCTTAGTAACTTCATCCTTCCCCAGCATGAGCTGCCCCCCACTCCAAAGTGCAGTATGGCTTCTTCTAAGCTTCATCTTGGGGGCCAAATTCAAGACAAAAGGAGCCTTCTTATCTTTTCATGGCTGCTTCTTGGTGACTGTGATAGATCATTCTAGAAAGGTCAGGATTAAATTTCGTTGTTCTCCTGCCAGGGAGAGGGATGCGGAATGAAGAGGGTGTAGTCTGCTTCCGCTAGTTACACTAATAAGAAGGCCCAGAATGTGTGGGTCACCCAAGGGAAGCTTGGCCCTTACCACCAAAAAGCCCAACCCAACCCCAAGTCCCAAGGAAAGAGAGATCACCGTGGGCCAGTGAGTCCAGTCAAAGGCTCGGCTAAATGTGCCCTCTTAAATCAGCATCAGCACCCAGGCAGCTTCAGTGACACGGTACAGCCGACACAGGACTGAGGGCAAGGAGGGGTTAATTTAAGTAGACACATGCACCATTTAATCTGCAATTGGAAATTCTACCGCCAAACATGTGGAAAGCAGCTCTGTGAGCAATACTTTACAGAAGTTTTCATCAAAGAGACTCTGCTGCCCACCTCTCTGGGGCTCACTTCCCAGGAGAGAAGAAAGGGAAAGCAAGTCAGGATGCCCCCCTGCGTCCTTGACTCAGGTGTGTAAGAGGTGGGGTGAAGAAAGTGTGAATGTGTGTGAGTGTGGTGTCTTCATGTGTGTGTCCTGGGACGTGTCAGGGAAGAGTGAGAACCACTATAAAGAAGACAGACCCAAGAGAAGATGTATCCAAACCTTGCTGGAGAATAAAGAAGAATGACAGGAAGGGGGTGTTGGCAGTGGGTGAGCTGTGCCGCCTGCTCCTTGGGGGAACCCCTCAAGGCTAGAGTAACCCTGTTATCAGCAGCAACATCACCTACCCAAGGCCAACTTCACTAAAGATGGCCAAGGGTGGGTCTCCCACATGGGCAGAATAGGGAGACCTCCAAGAGGCCTAAAGCGGGGGCCCAGCTACTCCCCTAAGTTTTGCCTCCTCCTCTGACTTGCCACAGTTCTCCCAAATTCCCGCCAGGAAATTCACCTCTGTCCACAGATGACCTCCTCTGCTCTAATATACACATGGCTCATAAAAGTCTGTATCAGCAGTTCTCATCTGAAGGGAAATCGCAAGGTGCTGGCCCCATCCTCCAAGTAGATCTAAGATGGGGCCTAAGAATTTACCTTTCTACAAGTTCCCAGGAGATGTTGCCACTGCTGGTCCAGGACCACTTGCTGAGAGCCACTGCTAGCTTCACTGAACTTGGCATCTGTCGTTTGGCAGGGAGCAGCTACTGAAGGGATCGGACACCAGAGCTGTAAATTTTGACAGTGGAAGACAGGAAAGGGAGCCTGGGGTAGGGGGTGAGGGCGGCCCTGCAGCGAGCCAGGTCCCACTAGAGGACCAGCCTGTGCCAGCAAATCCTGGGAGCTGGAAGAACTCCATGGAGACTCAGGTGGGAAGTGAGGGGCCTTTGCTCCCTTCCTTCAGGAGGGCACACTGCTAGCCACCCCCAGGTGGGAGGACAGCTGTGGCTGCTGCCTGAAGTCTCGGACAAAGCAAATGCAGAGCAGGCCTGGTGGGGCCCCACGGCCACAGCTTCCTTCCCTTTTACATTTACTGTTCACGTCCAGAGCTGCTTCTCCAGACTCAGCCCCGTTTACCCGAACACTGCAGCTGAGGGGCCCTGCATGTGACTTTGAAACATCTGTTTTCCCTTTGCAAGTTTCTCATTCTGATTCTTCTCTCCCCCTCTCCTTGTCTTTCTCTATCACAATGCAGTTTCCCAGAAACAGAATTCTGACAAGCTTCAGGAAAATCCGAAGGGTCCACGCAGTTTAAACTGCAATTCAAAATCTTCCTGCTTGATTCACCCACTTTGAGCCAGAGAGCATGTTCTTTGGATCAGAGACAAAAGGGCCGCCCCTCCCCCCAACCACACAGCTCTCCAGGCTAGTTTCAGGACTGCAATTAGAAAGGGCTCTTTGGCTTTTAAAGATGGATTTCTAAATAATACATACGGGACTTTTTTTTTCAGAGAGAATAGCTTTCAAAGGTCCGGTTAGCTACTCCTTTGCATATTAAGGAGTTCTTTTTATCTATCAAAAGGATCCTATGGGTCAGGCCAGGAGCGAGGACAGAAACTTAAAAGATGAGGGATACTTGGTTGACCACCGAAAGATACTACTCACTACTCGATACCTCTACAAAGAAGGCAGCACTACCCTAGGTATCCACGCTAAAATGCATAATGCAAAAAGAGCATGGCCTCATAGAGCAAGGGAATGACCTGGAACAGGGATGGCCAAAGATGCACCTGCTTCAGTCAGTGGCTTTTTGGAACCCAGTTCTGGTTTGGGCAGCTCTTTAAGGAGGACAGTAAAGCCATGAGCTTAAACTCCCGAGTCCCTATTCCCAAACCCCCGCATTGAGGCCCTCGGTGACCAAATGGTCAGTCTGTCCCTGCTCAAGCAGGGGATTTGTGGGGATTTCCCTTGGCCACCCTTCTCCCCATCCATCAAATCATTCTTGCTCAGAGCTGTGTAAGCTAAACTAACGTGCACACGCACACAAAGCAGCTATCTTTCTCCATCCGCCCAAAGCTGCAGTCCTCATGAAACGTGTTCAAATAACAAAATCACTGTTCTGTGTATTTCTTGGCATTTACAGCAACACCTTGTCAGGTTTCCCCAAACCCATAAATACGCTGTCATGAAGGTCCCCCTTTACAGCCCAGCGTGGAGGAACTCAGCCATCTGCTTTCAGGTTTCAACCGTTTTCACTTATCTTCCACTTTGTTTTATGGGATGGGATTAGGCCTGGATTTCTGCAGATAACCGAGTTTCGCTCTACTGCCTGTCAGTTTTTCCATCTCAGGCCACATGTGTAGGCTGATAATTGGAGCTCAGACGCTCATCCTGCCTCAGGAATGGTCCTTGTCAATGAACTTTAACCTCCTCAGTGTTGCCCATTATGAAGCACATCTTTCA